TCTCCACAATGCACCTGTAACGAGGGTATATTCGTACATATACATGTACATATAAGTAATATATCCTGGTCCACTTTCACCATCCTACATGTGGTGGCCACGGATACACAGCAAAGACTATAACATCATAAATTTTAATAGAGGATGAAGCTAATTTTACTATCGCATCCATCAGCTTCTTCGCTTTGCAACAATAGGAATATCGCGGAAATGTTTATACCCCTAGTTAATCAAAGGCAGGGGGGTTCCGACAGATTTCCTAACACCAAGTTTGTTTGTTAGATTATTAACGCAGCACCTAGCAGTATTCCATGGGGCGATGGGGTAGCCTAGTGGTTAAAGCGTTCGCTCGTCACAACGAAGATCCAGGCTCGATTCCCCACATGGGTACAATGTGTGAAGCTCATTTCTGGTGTCCCCCGCAATATTGCTGAACTATTGCTGAAAGCGGCGTAAAACTAAACTCACTCACACCAGCGTGAACATATCTGCATGCATTTCAAAGCAGGTTATTAAAATGGCTACACAGTAAAGTACGGTTATGACGAACCAGTGTTCGAAGTAGCCACTGGCCCGCTAGCCCCTTGCTAGTAAACATTGTCTTTCGTTATATCAGTAGTTTATCATACGCATGACCCGTGAAGATGCGGGTTAGAATTGATATTCAGTAACCCATGTTTGCCGCAGGAGGCGACTAACGGGATCGTGTGGTCAGGTTCGCTGACTTGGTTGACACATGTCATGGTATCCGAGCTGCGTAGATTGATGCTCATGCTGTTGATCCCTGGATTGTCTAGTCCAGATCCGATTATTTACAGACCGCCACTATATAGCTGGAATAATACTGAGTGCGGCGTTAAACAACAACCCAACCAACCAACCAACCAACCAACCGAGCGATAGCCTGAGACAAACAGATCTTCGGCCATTCCTGGACAACGTCATGACATTTGTCTGTGTCCGACAGTGAGGAAGCTCAAATTATCTCGCCAGCCGGTATATGATCGAGTCTGGACCAGACAAACCAGTCGTTGTTATAATGCGCAACGGTACAGGCCGTCAGTGTACGATGGCATATAACAGACCAATCATGGCCCACGGTTTTGCAACCCGATCCATTTGGTCATCTTTCTATGACAGATACAGATCACTACGGTTATAGATCTTTCCTTGAATGGATGAGGGAGAGAGTGAGTTTAGTTTTACATTTTAGCAATATTCCAGCAATATCACGGCGGGGGACACCAGAAATGGGCTTCACACGCTGTACCCATGTGGGGAATCGAACCCGAGTCTTCGACGTGACGAGAGAACGCTTTAACCACTAGGCTACCCACCGCCCCCTTCCTTAAATGGTGTTTACACTTTTAAGCGAACATACTGATTGTCTACCCACCATTTTGTTGGGAGTAGGTGATTGCCGATTTATTTATCTTATCGCTGTAGCCCAAGTAAGATAAGCAGTCTTCTGTCTGACCTTGACCTGCGCCAATTCGTTCTTTCTCGAAAGTATAAATAGTATATCTTCAAGGACAGGGGCGTGTTCCTTCTAGGCACGAAACATTACCTCAATATTCTATTTGCATTTAACCATGACAAAATATGTCGGGACGTGTATGGTCATGTTTGAAACCTTGAAGAAATAGTTCACTCAGCGGGAGTGTCAGTCAGGAGATTCTTGAGGTCGGTGTGGGATCGCCCAAATGTGTGAACGAACCATGGCTACCATTGTTGTGACTGTGAGTGAGATACGGTATTCATGTATAGTGTAATAAAGTACTGTTGTATAGTGTAATAAAATACAGTTGTATAGTGTAATAAAGTACAGTTGTATAGTGTAATAAGTACAGTTGTACAGTGTAATAAATTAACCATTATAGTTAAGAAACAAGTATATTTTGATCTTTTAGCGAAGCATCTTAGACTGACTGACTGACTGACTGAGTTTGGTTTTACGCCGCTTTTAGCAATATTCCAGCAACATCGCGGCGGGGGACACCAGAAATGGCCTTTACACATTGTACCCATGTGGGGATTCGAGCCCAGTTCTTCGGCGTGACGAGCCAACGCTTTAACCACTAGGCTACCCCACCGCCCGAAGCATCTTAGAAATCACACCAATGTTTCAACGAACCTGATGTGTAATTGGCGGTGACATCACCCATGTGTGGACGAACCTATGCTACCACTGATCTATCTATCAGTGAGATACGCTATGTACAGTGTGACATCGTACCCATGTGTGGACGAACCTATGCTACCACTGATCTATCTATCAGTGAGATACGCTATGTACAGTGTGACATCGTACCCATGTGTGGACGAACCTATGCTACCACTGATCTATCTATCAGTGAGATACGCTATGTACAGGGTGACATCACACATGTGTGGACGAACCTATGCTACCACTGATCTATCTATCAGTGAGATACGCTATGTACAGGGTGACATCACACATGTGTGGACGAACCTATGCTACCACTGATCTATCTATCAGTGAGATACGCTATGTACAGTGTGACATCGTACCCATGTGTGGACGAACCTATGCTACCACTGATCTATCTATCAGTGAGATACGCTATGTACATGGTGACATCGTACCCATGTGTGGACGAACCTATGCTACCACTGATCTATCTATCAGTGAGATACGCTATGTACAGTGTGACATCGTACCCATGTGTGGACGAACCTATGCTACCACTGATCTATCTATCAGTGAGATACGCTATGTACATGGTGACATCGTACCCATGTGTGGACGAACCTATGCTACCACTGATCTATCTATCAGTGAGATACGCCATGTACAGTGTGACATCGTACCCATGTGTGGACGAACCTATGCTACCACTGATCTATCTATCAGTGAGATACGCTATGTACATGGTGACATCGTACCCATGTGTGGACGAACCTATGCTACCACTGATCTATCTATCAGTGAGATACGCTATGTACAGGGTGACATCGTACCCATGTGTGGACGAACCTATGCTACCACTGATCTATCTATCAGTGAGATACGCTATGTACAGTGTGACATCGTACCCATGTGTGGACGAACCTATGCTACCACTGATCTATCTATCAGTGAGATACGCTATGTACAGTGTGACATCAGTGAGATACGCCCATGTGTGGACGAACCTATGCTACCACTGATCTATCTATCAGTGAGATACGCTATGTACAGGGTGACATCGTACCCATGTGTGGACGAACCTATGCTACCACTGATCTATCTATCAGTGAGATACGCTATGTACAGTGTGACATCGCACCCATGTGTGGACTAACCTATGCTGATCTATCTATCACTGAGATACGCTATGTACAGTACAGGGTGACATACCCATGTGTGAGATGCTACCACGCTATCTATCAGTGAGATACGCTATGTACAGTGTGACATCGCACCCATGTGTGGATTCAATCCTATGTACCACTGATCATCAGTGAGATACGCTATGTGTGGACGAACCTATGCTACCACTGATCTATCTATCAGTGAGATACGCTATGCACAGTGTGACATCGCACCCATGTGTGGACAAACCATATTTCCGCGTTTTGAAGTTCAGAAGCGTACATCAGTTATACATTGGGAGAATATAGAAACTATTTAGATCCTTCTATGCACATAGACAACTCTTGTCAACAATGTTACATTTTCTACAATATTACAACCGACACGGTGACTGTCCATTCCTTGACCGCTGATCACGGTGGCATTTCAGGCCAAACTGTGTGTACAGCTACCACAACATGGATTAAACCAACGCAGTTTACTTGTTGTCCATCAAAGTTGCCCGTTTACCGCTATTTGTGATGGGTTGAAGGATCCAGCTCAAAATGTTGAATTTGTACATGTATGTTTTACTGCTATAAGGGGTTCAATTTCATGCAAAATCTTTCAATTGGAATTGCATTATGGCAGCTTGGTACCATCTTCTTTTTGTAAGGTAAGTGAACGAAATGTAAGGTCAAGGTCACCGTCAATGTCAGTTTAAAAGACGTGACAATTGTATAACAGTAGTTTGTCAGTACGACTTCAACGTATTGTACGTTATTCGTTTGCCCTTTTACTTTGTATTGAACACAGGGACGCAGGTTGTTGTTTATGTGATTGACTGCCATTTGAAATGATTTTGAAATACACTAATGCTGAATGTCATATTTTGTGCAGGGATAACACTGAAAAACGTTTTATGGTCGCAGCAAGATGCTTTATGTCGATGATACTTAGTAACATGTCATATTTAAGCCGTAGCTCTTGTAATAAAGACACTTCTTGTAACATTAAGAAATGTACTCAAAATGAGTTTCGTGAAGCATGATGAGAAAATCTGGTATTATCGTTGATTGATTTAAACATATTTTATTCACAAATGTGAAAGGGATTGGGGAAAGGTGAAATGTGAAAGGGATTGTGAAAGGGATAAGTTATCCAACTTAAACTACCCGCTCCCTAATATATACATACATACAATTTCAGTTATATGCATCGTTTGGAAGTGTAAGATAGGTGTTTTGAACGATCATTATTCAGTGGGAGTCGACTTGGACAGATGTATTCCTGGACATTACCGAATCTTTTAAGCTTAAAATGTAATAATTTTGGGAAGTGTTCAGATATTAGTGGACATTTTTGGGCATAATCTTAAATATTGATATTGTTTTGGCTATGCTTTTGAACCTTTGGCTCTGAATTTCTGTATTTACCACAATGAACAAGCTCAACTTTCCATTAATGTTTGCTCTTTTCATGATACAGATAGACATGTTTGATATTGGGTTTTCAGCATTTTAGCAGAAAATAATTGAATATCAATGTCCTTTTTCAAGTCGCTATCTTATTATTCTACTGACTACACATCCAGGTGAGCTACAGTGCCAGAACACTATATCTTATGATCCATATTAGTTTATGTGTCATTTCATCATCAGTGAAAGCAGGTTCGTTCAGCTTCTCGAAATCCTATGCTATTCATATGGTACTGCAACAAACACCAAAGAAGGCTACCATATGGGGGTTTGCATCACATGTGGGGGAAACTGTCACGGTACAGATATCTGGGAAGGGATCGGTGACAACGACAACAAGACACGGAGATAACGGTGCTGTTGTATGGTATGCGCAGCTTCCGCCAGTCAGCGCCGGTGGACCATACACCATCACAGCTACATCTAGGGAAGGGACGCTAGCTCTGTACGATGTCCTGTTAGGTGACATGTGGGTGTGTTCTGGACAGAGCAATATGCAATTCACGATGAGCATGGTGAGTTTTGTCAGGGCAATGTATGCCGTCAGATATTCTTGTTGTTTTGCTTTGGTTTTATTTTTGCAAGAATAGTCCTCCCTTGAAGGCCTACGTCCTTTTTATACCTTTTTGTCGTGTATGCGTATAAGGCCGAACGCAACAGTATTCACTTGGGGCCATCAGTGCTTTATGGTGTACTATTCATAAGGTTCCACGGTTATTTTGCCCTTTACACCAACTGGAATCTGTGTCTGGGGATAGTCACGACTATGTATTGTTATGCTCTAACGATATATATATATATATATTGTGTCGGAAATCTTTGAATGCGCTGGTTTATTGCACATGTTATATTTGTAGGATTTCAATGCAACTGCTGAAATCAACGACGCTGACCATTACCCCCACATTCGTCTGATGACAGTATTACATCATACATCTCTTAAACCGGTCACTGACTTTAATGGATGGTTTCAAAGCTGGTCAGTCGCTTCTCGGTGTAAGTAGAAATTGGAGCATTTTTGTGATGACAGTGATGGAAATCGTCTAGACGTACCTGTGGATAACATCGAACATTGGACATTAGCCATCGAACATCGAACATCGAAAAACACCCTTCATTGTGGACTGCACTATATTCGTCAATAGTATAATGAACTTCTCGTCCATCTAATCAGGTTAATAATGAAGGAAACTAATGAAACAGTAATATTCATCTTCCTTATTTGTTGAATATATGCCTCAATGGTTTGGTATTTGCATATCAAACGCAATATCTAAAGCGATGCTGAAATCTACACTTACTAATCGAATTCCCAACAGTAAAAGTGTCCAGAAATAGAACCAATGGCAAGCTCATGACAATGCAAAATATTAAACTTATAACGTATAACGGTATGTAGTCAGATCTCCTCAGTTTGGTAAATACATATGGACACAATTTATTGACACTGTCATTTAGCGTTTGAAGTCATACACGCATGGATCACTTGTCAATAGCTTCATTCAAAGAATATTTTGTGAAAGAAAATGTCTGGCACCTTGCAATCATACAAGGCGCGTCCAATATTTAGAAATGTTATCATTGGAATTCGATGTCCATATGTTTCTACGATTTGTAAAAAGCACATGACAAATTCAATATACACATATTTCTGAAAAAAAGAACTTGAATGAAATCAAAGACATTTCAAACATTAACAAGACATTATCAAAACTAAATCCAATACATTTAACATGTCATTATAACATTAAAGATTCGTTCGCGACATATTACAGTGTGTTTAGGCTTTTGCAAATGTAAAAAGGAGGAATTAAATGTTACGGTTAATAAATTGCCGTGACAAAAGGTTTAAGAGTCCCCTTTGAACCAGCAAAATAGAAAACAGACAAGTCTAAAATATTCAAAAATATATTGAACAAAAAATGAATGACAATACAGATTTCTAGTACAATGCAGTTGAGTCACAAATCTAAAATATTGGGTCACAAATATGAAATATTAACTCACCAAAGTCTTGGCATTCACGGTGAGAACAGATATACTTATTGGAGGTTGTTTACAATGACAGTAGTTGAATAGTCAAGCACGGTCTTGAAATGTTGACAGACAGACTTGGCGACGGTAGGCAGATGTATCAGCTCGATGACGGAAACATATGTGTATAACTCCAGTCATGTAATAAGTCCGTGTGTGCAAGGCAACATTCAGCCTTTATATAGCTCTTACACAGTTCTCGAGCATTCTAGCAAAGTTAGGCAGCATCATTATCAAATCGGTGGAAAACTCCACGGCATGATGAAAGCTGTAAATAAACAAGATTGCCAAGAAGATTGCATTTAGTCGGGGATGAATTTGCTTCCTTATTTAACTTTATTTAATCCTTTTTGGAGATGAAATTTTGGCTTCTTTCACATTGTTGATTTTGTTCAGATTCGGTGGGAGGAACGGATTGGGTACATTTCTCCGCGCTGTGTTGCCTCTATGGGAAGCATCTCTACAAAACATTGAAGTACCCCATTGTATTGATAGCAACAGCAGACGGAGGGACTATTGATGAAGCATGGTCGTCTCCAGACGCCCTGTCCAAGTGCGTCAGCAAAAATCAGATACCAAAGTGAGCATGAAAACGTTCTGGGGATTTTTTCGAACTGTTTTTAGTGCTTTCTTAGTCCAGGGTCATCACAGAGCTCTCGTAAGCCCAGGATCTCGTAACTTTTCTCGTAGCAATCGTACCTCCTATATTGTAGGTTTACGACAATCGTAGCGTTACGATAGTTTTGTGAAACCGGGTGCCTATGGGTGATAGCGATGAGGTGGCTAACTCAAAAAGTGTCGGTCCGAATCCAGGATGGGATCCAGCCACAAAAAGTACTAGATTTCTACTTTCCTAAGTAAGTGTGATCCGTTAGACATAATATTCAATCACTTATTCTGGAAAGTGAGTCATTGCTTGTTAATTTCCAGGCCCACGTACAATACCAATGGTGACGTGGACCACAACACCTATTCCAGTCTTTGGAATTCAATGGTGCATCCTCTTTTGCATACAACTATATATGTCGTCATCTGGTATCAAGGTTAGACTTCGAATGGTGATAACCATAACCAACCTAATAAGCATATAAATGGTTTGTTTTGTGCAAAGAGATTAATTTCAGCCAGGACTTCCTCATATTGATTGGGTAGAGGGGCTTTAAATACAATACACTCAAAAAACCAAAGTAATAATAATATTTAATGATACAGAACGACCCAAGGAATTAATAATTGTTGTTATTATTTATGTGTACTCAGAGGCAAAAGTTATTGTGACATGGAATTTTCTAATTGGTAATCTTGTGAATGAATGATGAGTATACATAGAATTTACACTGAAATGAATATATCGATATAACGAAACAGATTTCTCTAAATATTGCAATTACGTTATTCAAAGTCGCATGCTAAAAATCAGACATATTACTTCGATATCTCGTGGTTTAATATGTTAACAGAACAAAACCAAATTCTCTCGTTACACAATTCAATGTTTCACAGGTGAATCAAACCAGCAAAACGGACTCGACAGATACAGCTGTACATTCCCGGCTCTGATAGATGACTGGAGAAAAAAGTTTTCAGAAGCTACAAACGGTCAGACTTCCAATATGTTTCCCTTTGGATTTGTCCAGGTAGACAAAACTGTTTAACATATGTTATATTTGGGATTACACCATCTTAGTAAAGTACAAATTCTAGTACTTTTTGAGTTGAGTCCCATCAGGGATTCGAACCCACACCCTGACATGTACATTTGACCACTTTCTAAATGGCATTGTGTAATCATGACAAAAAAATTATTTAAAATACAGACTCGGAAACATAAATTTATGAACAGAAATATCGCATTCTCTTTACTAGGTCGACAGGTAGACAGCCGAATAAAAATGTCCCAATCAAACAATGGCACGCTGGTCGTTGGCTCCATAGCTCGTTTCTACTAAGCAGAGGTTCTTAAACCTATTAACAACTCGCCAGTGAAAATCCTTCCTGGCAGATATGGCTTATATCTTGTCTATATATAATATAAATGTGTATGATGATCGATATTGGCTGAGGTGTTTTGTCTCTTTCAACAGTTTAGTGGCTTTTGAAATAACATTATGAACTGACATGTCGTATTATCGTTACTTGGTGGACAGGTAGACAACAGATTGAAGATAATCAGGCAATATGCCCCATATTAAGCCTTTATATAATATAAACATTTGTGGTGATCGTTGGGGGCTTTTGCATTCTTCAACATTCCAATGGCTTTTTCAACATAAGCATGTCATATTTCACTCGGTATCAATCGTCATTAGTGTCAAGTTTTCCTATTTGTATGCAACTCGTTTATAGACAGAAACAAATACTTCTACAAGTTAACACACTATGATTGTATTGTCTGGATAAACATGTATTTGTGCATTCCAACACATTATGATTGTATTGCCTCTTGAAACATCTACTGGGACATATATACTTATACAAATAGTGATTGCATCTCTTCAGTTAGCTCCGTGTCGACACTGGAATGTCAATTCTTGATGGGCCATTTTGAAGTGGCACCAGACCTCTGACTATGGCTATGCCCCTAACGACAGGATGAAGAACACCTTCATGGCGGTGGCCATGGACCTGCCTGATTACAATTCACCACGTGGAAGGTAAATTGTCATCTCAAGAATATAATAGCCAATAATAGTTATCGAATAACAAAATTTTAAGCAAAATACCAAATGTATCTTTGGTTAGGTTCGTAGAACAGAAGAAAGGAAGAGTGATGCATGTCGCTATCAACATGTAAGACATGTATGATATTTCATACATGAAAGGAGATATTTCACTTTCACAAATGTCTTTTTTAAAAAGAAGTATACCTAACAATACTACACATGCTAAGGTCTCGACAACAGTCCCAGTCTATATTTCAACGTGAGATAGTTTGAGAGCAATCTGTTTCCGAAGTATTGTCCAATCTATTTCTCTGACATTCTGCTAATGATGATACCACTTACTCTGTGCAAATTATTAAATGTCCATACAATTAATGCAGTTCAAAATTACAGATTGTTTTCCACAAAAGCAGTTCAGCAAATTTCCTTCTGTAAATATTTTATGGAATTGCATGGTTTGTTTGCAGCATCCATCCCAGAAATAAGGCAGATATCGCTGAGAGACTGTACACCGAAGCCATGATTGTGGCTTACAAGAGAACAGAAATGCTAGACCACCGAGGACCATTCCCTACTGGGTTTACTGAAGTGGTGGATAAGATTGACTGACTGACTGAGTTTGGTTTTACGCCGCTTTTAGCAATATTCCAGCAACATCACGGCGGGGGACACCAGAAATGGGCTTCACACATTGTGCCCATGTGCGGATTCGAACCCGGGTCTTCGGCGTGACGGGCCAACGCTTTAACCATTAGGCTACCCCACCGCCCCTGATGGATAAGAAGACTGTACAGATTTCATATGCTAACACAAAGACAAACATCGAGAAGAGAAATAATAACGGATTTGAGGTACGTCAATGTTACATTGTAAGAGTGATCTGACGCATTTCAGCGATAATTCGACCAAAACAAATTATGCATTCATTGCAAAATGGTCACAGTAAATAGGTGAAGTAACTTTAACATATTCAATTATAGAATCAGATAACAGACCTTTGCTTGTACCTGTTGTGAACGGCCTTGATCTGAGCGGAGGTTTACTTCTACGGTTCCCATATCATGATAAGTTAAAATGAAACTTTATAATGCAATTGGCTCGCTCCAAATTTATACGTTTTATACAGGATTTATCTCGAGCGGTGCTTGACAACAGTCCCGTTTCTTACCAAATTAGCATATCTAATTTGCATACTTATATCACTGGGAATGACATATATATATTTATAGGTCATAACCATATGTCAGGGATAAAATGAGTTCAGTAAGGGACACTGTTGTCACAAATGGAGATGGTGTAGAGTAAATGTATTAGTGAATTTTCGTAAGAGCCGGATTAGAGCGTGTTCCAAGAACTTTACTGCCTGTCGCTGGGTCTGGTGATCAGGTTCGCCGACGTCGTCCCAGTAGTCATCGAACACCCATGACTTTGGGCATGTAGGATATGATATATAGAATGTCGCAAAAAGAATACCAAATCTTGACTTTCGTCAGAGATTCCTTTTGTTGTGTGGGGAACAATAGCTGTGGAAATTATTTCAATGGATTACTGAAAATCAATGATGACACCAGGTGTTTGCGACAAGAGTAAATGTGTCCTGCCCTACCGGTTATGCATTACATAGCGGCCAAATGTTGAAAACTATGTCATAACAGAAGCGTCATACAAGGGTTAAAATAGAGTGAGTTGGTGAGTAGGTTTCACAACGTTTTAGCAATATTACTCCAGCTGCATCCACAGTGTCGTTCACCTATTGAAACGAATATGAGAATCGAAACCGAGAATTTATTTATCCAATAGGCCACCATCCATCTAGATAAAACAAAGTCAAACAGGAAACCAAATGAAAACTCGATCCTTCATCTTTATGATTATGAGAGCAAACTTATACGTCATAATGATATTTTGTCTCTGTTTTGACGACATTATTCAGAGGCATAACCTTTTCAACATCTAGAAACCATTTACTGGTGTTTGCGACTTCGGGATAATGCCTGCAAAATGTTATTATTATTTTCATATTTTCTTTTGTGCAGGTGTGTTGTGTCCCGAGGAGGGATATATCTGATACCCGCAAGTTCTGTCCAATGACCTACCCTTCTAACCTGTGGAAGGCTGTTCCCATCACGGCTTCAGACTCAACGTCTGTAACAATCAACTACCACAATGCTTGCACCTCAAGCAACCCCTACCTTGGTGGTATCCGTTATGAGTGGCGGGAATCCCCCTGTGATATGAAGAAGTGTGCTGTGTACAACAAACTGAGCGGAAGTCCTGCTCCAGCCTTCATACACTTTGTCACCCTTTAGATGGATCTGGGACCTCAGTTGTATTGATATGTAATGTGAATATGTTATTCAAGGATATTTATGAATATAGTTATTTTACCGTGTTGTTGTCTTTTATGAACACATTTAACGAAAACCATAGATATCACTGAATTGTTTACTATAAATGTGGAAGATAGAACGTTGGCCACAAGAAGAAAACGATATTGCTGAATCTCTGGGTTCAACTGTTTACTAGTATTATTCCAGCTATATGACGGTTGTCTGTAAATAATTGTGTCTGGGCCAGACAATCCAATGATCAATAGCATGAACATCGATTTACGCATTTAGAATACGATGACGTGTGTCAACCAAGCCAGAGAGACTGACCATCCAATTCTGTTAGTCGCCTGTTACGACAAGCATGATTGCTTGAGACCAATTCTAACCCACATCTTCATGATTAGTTTCAAGAGTAGTTACTGTCAAAGGAGATGCATTGCTATGTGGACATGTGTCATTGGTTTCAAGCATTGCATTGAATTACATTTTGTATTAAATTTTACTATCTATGAGTGAGATACGCTATGCTCATTTTTAACTTCACATCCATGTATGTGCAAACCTAGGCTACCACTGATCTATCTATAGGTGACATACGCTATGCTCATTTTTAACTTCACACCCATGTGTGGAGAAACCTAGGCTACCTGTGTTGTATCTATGATTGAGATACGCTATGCTGCCAATGTTGTGTCTGTGAGACAGATTCTAAATCCACCGTGTGACATTGCACCTATAAGCGGACGAACCTGAGCTACCACTGTCGTGTCCTTAATGAGATACCAAATGCTCAGTATGACATCACACCATGTCTGGACAAACCCAGGCTGCCACTGTTGTGTGTGTGTGTGAGAGATACGCTATGCATAATGTCAGATTGCACTAATGTTCACTTTAGGCAGTTAAACTAAATATAATGAATGGTAATTTGTAGGGTTCCTATATCTTTCCAAGTGTCTGCGGGATCTGTTCACGCTTACAAAATATGACAGCGACCCGGAGTCTCTTATCGTAATACTGTCTATAAACTAGATTTCTTCACTACGGTATGTTTAGCAACAAATTACGCGGATTTCTATGTAAAAACAGCTGCTATGCGTATAAGGATAGCCTATCTATTTAACTATTTAAAGCAGAGACATTACTCTGAAATGCTCACGTGAAAGAAATGTGAATATGAGTAAAACTATCACATACTGACCTAGATTCCCTTATCGTAATACTGTTAACTAGATTTCTTCACTCAGTTATTTTTAGGTACAAATAACGCTGATTTCTATATTTTTGTTTTGTGTTAAAAACAGGTGTTATACTTATAAGGATAACCTATTTTAGCACTATTTAAAGCAGAGGCATTACTCTGTCAGTCCAGTGACAATGAATGAACAGGCCATGTTCAACCTACTTGCACTGATTTTCATTTCGGTGGTTAGCTTTGAAGGCAAGTTGTATATTTTCAACATTTTTTCGTTCATAAACGTACATGAGTAAAACACTGGGAGAATTTAGAAATTATTTAGACACTTCCAACATCCCTGTGGGCATCGCCTTTAACTCTTGTCAACAGTGTTATATCATCGACAATATTACAACCGACACAGTGACTGTCCATTCCTTGACCGCCGGTCACGGTAGCATTTCAGGCCAAACTGTGTGTACAGCTACACCTGTGTCACACTGTTGCTCATTTCCCACCTTTTCTGGTGGTTTGAAGGGTTCAGCTCGAAATGTTGAATTTGTACATGGATGTTTGACTACTATGCCGTTTAAATTCGTGCAAACTATTACAATTATAATTGCATTATGGCGGTTAAACACCTTCTTAGTTTTAGAAGGTAAGTGACCTAAGTGTAAGGTCAATGTCACAGTGAAGGTCATTAAAACAATGTGACAATTTTATAACTTTAGTTAATGTGTGTGACCTTAACGTGTATCTTATGCTATTCGTTTTCGCTTTTGTGTTGACTTGAACGAAGGGACATAGGTTGGTATTTATGTGCTGGACAGTCACTGGAAATAATCTTGAAATACACTTGTACTTATACTCGCTTGGCGTAATGCTTAAAAACCCAACAGTTATGGTACCAGCAGGATAGTTTGTGTCCATGATACTCAGTGACTTGTATAAGTTACGGCCTGGCTCTTGTAGGAAAGAAATTAAGTCACGAGGGTGTATGTTTAAAAATGTATTCTAGATGTGTTCCCAACAATTATCGTTTGAAAGTGTTAGGTAAGTGTTTTGAACGAGAATTATTCAATGTAATTATATTCGAATGCTCATTCTTATTCTTATGGTAGTTCCGCATCTTTGAGCACTGAGGCTACCAGTCCCTGATTTTGTATGACAAATGTGTTTGTAAGAGCACATTTCATTACATGAACTGAACATGCACAGTTGCCTACCATCATATACTTGGAATATTGCTGACGGCGGAGTTAGCAACAACAACAACAACAACAACAAGAACTCAGGTTGTCTGCAACCGAAACCGGAATCACATGTACGGTTCTCATTAATATTGTTAGGTAAAGACTGTATTTTCTCAGACCTTAAGTGATGTCGACTCGAAATAATGACATTACAGTGAACATGACATTTACTCGAGACATTTGAGTTCACCATCATGATATTATACATGTAAGCAATATAGTATACTGTAATGAAGGTAATGCTACAACAGGTGTAATGCTTGGTGATGTGTAATAACTTCAGGAGTCGCTTCTGTTGTTGCTGACACGTTTGGACGTGAACAAATGTATTCGTGGACAAGGCTTGTTGGTTGGTTTGTTTGTTTTTTTCGCCGCACTCGGCAACATTCCAGTCTGTAAATAATCGACCAGACAATCCAGTGATCAACAGCATTAGCATCGATCTACACAATTGGGATACGATGACATGTGTCATCAACGTCAGCAAGCCTGACCACGCGATCCCGTTAGTCGCCTCTTACGACAAGCATGGGTGACTGAAGACCAATTCTAACCCGGATCTTCAGGGGTCGTGTACAAAAGAACACCTGATTTTATTATATAAAACAAACTATCATTTTGAAATGCGTAATTATTTGTATTTTTGATATTTTTGGGCAGATTAAGTGGTCATCGTCATTAGCACAGTGTCATGCTGATGCTGAAGACCAACCCGGCTCTTCACGGTGGACATTACTGAAACTTTTAAAATGTAATGATTGCTTTTGGAAAATGTTCAAATAGTAGTGGACATTTTGGGGCATAATCGTACATATTGACCTTGAAGGGGCTATGCTCTTGAACCTCTGGTTCTGAATTTCTGAATTAACCACACTGGGAAAGGCGAACTTTCTATTAATGGTTGCATTTGGTGATACGGATAGACATGTTTTATATATCCATGTGTGCTACAGTGCCGAAACGCTATATATGATGATCCATATTAGTTTATGTTTCATTTCATCATCAGTGGAAGCAGGTTCGTTCAGCTTCTCGAAGTCCTATGCTAATCATATGGTACTGCAACAAGCACCCAAGAAGGCTACCATATGGGGGTTTGCATCAAATGTGGGGGAAACTGTCACGGTCCAGATTTCTGGGAAGGGATCGGTGACAACGACAACAAGACACGGAGATAACGGTGCTGTTGTATGGTATGCGCAGCTTCCGCCAGTCAGCGCCGGTGGACCACACATCATCACAGTTACATCTAGGGAAGGGAAGCTAACTCTGTACGATGTCCTGTTTGGTGACGTGTGGGTGTGTTCTGGACAGAGCAATATGCAATTCACGATGAGCATGGTGAGTTTTGTAAGGACGATGTATATGGTCAGGTCTTTTTGTTGTTTTTTGTTGTAAGAATAGTCCTTCCATGACGACTTACGTCCTATCTCATATCCAAGGACTTGTCGTGTATGGTTGATGTTTAAGGTCAAACGCAACAGTACGTAGTATTCCGGCTCCTGCAAAATATTATTTTGTCCCAACGTTTTGCAAAGAAATAGTACACCGTTCACTTGACACTGGAAAATAGTACATGTATGTTCCAAGTCAAAATATTATTATATTATTTCAAAAGACTTAATGAAAAAATGTCTCTATGAAATGTTTTATAAGACAGAGGTATGGAAATTGTTTAGATCGCTCACATACATGTCCTTTAGAACTTAACGTTTTCACAGACTGAAGTCAAAACAAATGGGTCTGTTTACATATATCTGTTGCCAACATTCCAACCGGTAACACACCCACTGTATTTATAATGAATACTTAAACAGACCATGTAAACCGGATGCTTTTGAGCTTTGGTGCGGATTTCGAAATCCCGTGGCGTTTGGTAGGAAGTGATGCACGGGAATTGGATTGGATTTTGTGACGGCATGACATTGTCTTGGTTTAATGTGATCCAAACTCCTGGAAAAATATCAGATAAAATGTATATAATATAATTCACCTCAGCTTTGGGTGAGAGCCCTTTGAATTATGAATTGTATGGTAAACGTATCCCTGTGCCTATGCATATTCAAATAACGTCTTGGGGGCGTAACAAGCCTCCAGAACACATTGTTCATCAATGCTTTATTCATAACATAGTTTTCACAGCAATTCTACCTTTACACCAACTGGAATCTGAGGATAGTCAAAACTTTGTGGTGCTATGCTCTGGTGTTATACTTGGCATGTTATATTTGTAGGATTTCAATGCAACTGCTGAAATCAACGACGCTGACCATTACCCCCACATTCGTCTGATGACAGTATTACATCATACATCTCTTAAACCGGAAACTGACTTTCATGGATTGTTTCAAAGCTGGTCAGTCGCTTCTCGGCGTAAGTAGAAATTAGAACATACTTTTTGTTGGCAAGTGGTGGAAATCGTCTTCCTGTAGCAGTGAATGAAGGTATATTTGTTTGGAACAAAGTAAAAACATCTAAACACTCCCTTTATCTTAGACGCTATATCCTTCAGTAGGCTAATAACACTTTACCTTCTAATCAGTTGTAAAATGAAAGCGAATTTAAAATCAATGAAACAGTAATATTCAGCTTCCTACTTGATTACATGGATCAATACATGACTCAATAGTTTATTACTTGTATAACTGAAGCAATAACTAAAGCAATACTGAAAGTTACACTCTTTAACTAAAGCCTCACAGCAAAAAGCATCCGGTAAATATTTGCAGATGTGTTAACAAAGTGTCCAGAAAAAGTACCAATGTCAAGGTCATTAAATCATAAATTATTAAACTTAAAACCATCATATCATTTGTAAGAAGATTCATTTCAAGAATATTTTGTGAAAAAAGATTTTGCATGTATGGCACCGCATGAGTCGGGAATGGATCTGCTTCGTTTTTAATTCTATTTACTCATAGTTTGTCTATTTACACATTACTCTGTCTTGTTTTGTTATGCTGTTTTTGATACAATACAGTCTTCCAGTTTTAGCTTACATTGGTATTGCTGATTTTGTTAAGATTCGGTGGGAGGCACGGACTGGGTACATTTCTCCGCGCTGTGTTGGCTCTATGGGAAGCATCTCTACAAAACATTGAAGTACCCCATTGGATTGATCGCAACATCAGACGGAGGGACTATCGATGAAGCATGGTCGTCTCCAGACGCCCTGTCCAAATGCGTCAGCAAAAATCAAATACCAAAGTGAGCATAAAGGGTTTTTCCTTTTTCAAAGCTTTATTGGCACAACAAAATTAGTAATAAAATCTTTCAAATATCCTTTAATATTTTGCTGCTCGAAACATTCCAAGTCCAACAAATGAAAGTTTTCGTCTTCCTTTGATTCTGGCTAAAACGAAACAAAATAGAAGTGGTATTTGATGTAGCTATCATTGTATTTCGGACCTTAAGTTTGCAGTGTTTCAGCGAGTGGAAACGTTTTTGTTAAATCAAATGTTCAACTGTTTTCAAGTGCTGTCTTAAGCCCCATTCACATGCACAAAATTTACTCATGTAAGTAAATTTGCACATGTGTAAATATGCATACGTGTGTAATAGTAAATTTACTTTGCGTTCACATTGAATTTATGTAGAGTGAGTAAACTTGGAAGTGTAAATAATAAATGTATTAAATTGTTCCATTGTTTCTCTGAACTTGAACAGAGATAGATGTTCTCTTATCACTGGCGCTTTAGAAGACAAACACAGTATTAGATATGTACTGCTCTTGCAATAGGTCTGTCACAAGAAAGACCGACTGTTTGCTGGAACGACATGAATGAAACTAGTTACGACAAAGACTGGTACGATAATTTTTGAATAAACAAAGGGGTTTTCGATCTTATCTGCACACAACTGCGGGATTACTTAAAAGCTAGTGACCAAGCTGTTCGCCAACCTTAGGATGTACGAATGAAACTTGCAATCGCAATATACTGCATGGCTTCAACTTCAGAATATAGAACTGTGGGGAATTTGTATGGTGTAGGGAAGTCCGCCGTTTGTAAATGTATTCATGAAGTATGTCAGACCATATGAGATGTTTTGGTTTGGTAATATGTAACTTTTCCCCTAAATGAAGATGACATGACATAGTTTACTCGCAGTGCAAATTTGCACATGTGTAATTATAATTTTGCACCTGGTCCCGACCACATGTAAATTTGCTCCTAGTGTTCACATGACACATTTACACACGTATGTAAAGTTTGCTCATGTGTGTATTTATACATATGTGTGCAAACAGATGCATGTGAACGGGGTTTGTGTCTGTCAGTTCTGTGATGACGATACGGGGTCTGTTCGAACCTCTACCTCAGACAGTGTCACGGTTGGGCCAAAAAAAGTAATAGGATGTCTGCTTTACTAAGAAAGTGTGATCCAAATATTATTATTGAGAGATATATATTCACCTACTGTTTTTGGAAATGGCTGCCCATATGTCTAGTGTATTATAAAATTTGTGTCATCGCGATGCTCATTCATTTCCCAGGCCCACTGATGGCGATGTGGGGTGTGTTCGAACCCCTGGTGGGACTCAACCACAAAAAGTACTAGCATTTCTACTTTTGATGTGATCTACTATGTGTGATCCTAAATATTAACATTGTTAGATATACTATTCACTCACGGATTCTGGAAATGACTTATGTCATCGTGATGCTGATTCATTTCCCAGTCCCAAGTACAAGAGCAATGGTGACGTGGACCACGACACGTATTCCAGTCTTTGGAATTCCATGGTTCACCCTCTTTTGCATACAACTATATATGGCGTCATCTGGTATCAAGGTTAGATTTCGAATGGTGCTAACCAATATCTAAAAGATTAACCGAATGTGAGTACAAATGGCAGACGTTATTGTGACATGGATTTTTTTCATTAGTAATCTTGTGAATCAATGTTGAGTGAGTAAGTGAGTTAAGATGTATAGGCACATCGGCAATAATTCAGCCATATCGTGACTTCAAAAAATTATAAACTCCAATTAAATTATAAAACCCCGACGACAGTAACAAAAACCACTAGGTTATCACAGACAGAGAATTAGACAAATCTTATGGACAATGCAATTATATAACAATGGGCTGGAAATCACTAGCAACTGAAGGTACGTCACCATACTAGGGACCATGGGGACTTACAGTACTTTCCCTACCGCATGGACCCTACTTGGATTTACAGTATAGCCATAAATTAAAATCACACATATTCTACGATTAAAATTCTAGGAAGAGGAAATATACTTTGATTGTTTCGGGACTGAATTAATGTTGAGCATACATGGAATTTACATTGAATTGAATAGAGGAATAAAACAAAATAGATTTCTCCAACGTATTTTATTTGAGTTTTTGAAATAGAGGTATGTTTAAAACCCCTTTTGAGATTCTCGGTCAGAAACATTCATCAGCCACATATAATCGGTCTGGCGGTTTAATGTATCGATAAAATCCTAAATTCTCTCAGCACACAATTTAATTTTTCACAGGTGAATCAAACCAGCAAAACGGACTCGACAGATACAGTTGTACATTCCCGGCTCTGATAGATGACTGGAGAAAAAAGTTTTCACAAGCTACAAACGGCCAAACATCCAATATGCTTCCCTTTGGATTTGTCCAGGTAGGTACAATACATATTTTAAAATGCAATGGCTGAAATATAAGTTTATTGACAGAAATATCGCATTCCCTTTACGAGGTGGACAGGTAGACATTCGATTGAAATGCCACAATTAAACAATGGTATGCTGGTCGTTGGTTCCAAACCTCGCTTCTCCCAACCAGAGGTTCTTAATCTATCAGCAACACGCCAGTCAAGATCTTTCGGGCAGACAGACAGACAGATTGTTTAATATAGTCTCACCTCGTTACAGTCAGTTTGATAAAAACGAACAAACATAATATTTATATACATGTCATTGATATAAACTATGCATAACTTAAGACAATATAAGCGTAAAAGTAACGAGCCACCATGTACAGAGCTATGGCAGACTTTAAATATAATATCTATAAAAACATTCAAATCTTAAGAACTGCAGTCACTCTATAACAGATACTTTGATAAGAAATCAATGAAATAAAATGTTATGACGCTTGACGATGTTTTTGCACTCTGGGCTATAACATTAGGTGATGAGAGCATAAAACTGACTTTCCGAATATCATCTAAGCTATTAAAATCCTCATTTATCACAGGAGATGTGACAGTAGATTACGTCTTTCCTCTTTATACACTGGGAAGATATGGCGTAAATTGCGCCTAAATATGATATAAATATGTATGATGATCGATGGGGCTCCATGTTATTGTTTATTTTTTAACATAAGCAGGGCATATTTCACGCAGTAGAACTCGTCATGAGTGCCCGCTTTTCTCACTTGTATGCATCACGTTTACCGACAGACAGCTATATAGATAAAACATGTGTTTGTACATTTCAACACATTATGATTGCATTTTCTCGTAAAATATCTATTTGAACATTCCAGTACATTATGAATGCATTGTTTGTAAACTTGTACATATATATGTGTCCAAACACATTGACTGTATCTCTCCAGTTGGCTCCGTTCCGAAACTGGAATGTCAATTCTGGATGGGCCATTTTGAGGTGGCACCAGACCGCTGACTATGGCTATGTCCCTAACGACAGGATGAAGAACACCTTCATGGCGGTGGCCATGGACCTGCCTGATTACAAATCACCACATGGAAGGTAAATGGTAATCTCAAGAAAAATAGCCAAAACTAGTTATCTGATAAAAGTCGTCTTTTGAGTGAGTGAGTATGGTTTTACGCCGCATTTAGCAATATTCTAGCAATATCTTGGAAGGGGACACCAGAAATGGGCTTCACACATTGTACCCATGTGGGGTATCCAACCCGGGTCTTCGTAGTGGCGAGCCAACGCTTTAACCACTAGGCTACCCCACCGCTCCAGTCGTCTTTTACTTTGTTCCATAACAGCATGACATTGTGCTAAAGATTTATCCGTGCAAAATATCAAAGATACAAATACGTTTGCAGTTCAGAATTATAGCGTGTTTTCCATATACAGATTTTCATCTTCAAGCACATATTCCATTGCATTTTTCACATAATACTTAGGGATATTAAGTTGGAGTCGCATGGCGTGTTTGCAGCATCCATCCCAGAAATAAACACGACATCGCACAGAGACTGTACATCGAGGCCATGATTGTGGCTTACAAGAGGACGGACATGCTAAACCAACGAGGACCATTCCCTACTGGGTTCACAGAAGTGGTGAATAAGAAGACTGTACAGATTTCATATGCTAACACAAGGACAACCATCGAGAAGAGAAATAATAATGGTTTTGAGGTACGTCATTGTCGCACTTGGAGAATGATCTGACGCATTTCAGCGATAATACAAACAGAAAAGATTATGAATTGATTTATAAAGACATTTACTGGTCTTTGTGATTTCGGGCAGATACCTGCAAAATGTGTTTATTATGTCTATATTATATTTTGTGCAGGTGTGTTGTGTCCCGAGGAGGGATATATCTGATACCCGCAAGTTCTGTCCAATGACCTACCCTTCTAACCTGTGGAAGGCTGTTCCCATCACGGCTTCAGACTCAACGTCTGTAACGATCAACTACCACAATGCTTGCACCTCAAGCAACCCCTACCTTGGTGGTATCCGTTATGAGTGGCGGGAATCCCCCTGTGATATGAAGAAGTGTGCTGTGTATAACAAATTGAGCGGAAGTCCTGCTCCACCATTCATACACTTTGTCACCCTTTAGATGGATCTAGGATCTCAGATGTATTGATATGTAATGTGAATATGTTATTCTAGGATATTTATGAATGTAGTTATTTTACCATGTTGTTTTCGAGAGTGAACACATTAAATGAGCTTCATCGTTGAGACATCACAAAAATTATATCACTTAATTGTTTAACAGACAGACAGATTTATTATGTCTGTCCTGTCTTAACTGTTTAATTACAATGGGGCGGTGGGGTAGCCTAGTGGTTAAAGCGTTGGCTCGTCACGACGAAGACCCGGGTTCGAATCCCCACATGGGTACAATGTGTGAAACCCATTTCTGGTGTCCCCCGCCGTGATGTTGCTGGAATATTGCTAAAAGCGGCGTAAAACCAAACTCAGTCAGTCAGTCGTCAGTTTAATTACAAAACAGAAGAGAGAACGCGATGACATTGCTGAAGCTTTCAATTTGCTTTCAGCTGTTTCTTTGTTGTTTAACGCAGCACTCAGCAATATTCCAGCTATATGGAATCAGTCTTAATAATCATGTCTGGGCCAGGCAATACAATGACCGACAGCGTAAGCATGGATCTACGCAATTGGTATACCATTATATGCGTCAGCCAAGTCCGCGAGGCTGACCATCCAACTTTAGTCAGCTCTTACGACAAGCATCTGCTGCTGAAGACCAGTTCTTACTTGGATCTTCACAGGTAGTTGCAACTGTCAAAGGAGATCCATTTCTATCTGGACATACTGACAACTTCATTGGTTCAACCTTTCGTGAAGTTACATTGTTTCTATAAAATCGGACTTTCTGTGATTTCCAAATACAACATATTAGTGTTTTATTTGGTGAACCTATTTAGTTGTTACTGGTAGATTCTAAACAGGAAAACAGTTCATCTCATATGTTATTTAAAAAACGGAGCTCAACCTATTTAAGTAATACATACATGGATGAAACTTTGATGACTAATGTTTCAAAACATTTCAACAGACAAACGCCAATGGGAAATATATAAGAATGGGTATACATTATCAAGTATGACCAGTCACACATACTTCTGAAAGTTTGCCTGTTTTGATTTAAAGCAGAAACACTCTGCGTTCCAAAAATCTGGTCCTACAGGACAACCTCATATCTTCAGTGTAACAGTTAAAATTACATGTCGCGATTAACTATAATTAATATAAGGACATACTCTGAGATATCCATCCAGGGTGTGGTCGGGTGGTCTACCAAAATTTATGCATGTTTGTTTGTTGCCGCAGTCAGCAATATTCCAGCTATATGGTCTGTAAATAATCAAGTCTGGACCAGACAATCTAGTGATCATCATGGATACGATGACAGTTAGTCGTCTTTGACGACAAGCATGGGTTACTGAAGACCAATTCTAACCCGGACCTTCAAGGGATTCTATGCTTGCCATAAGAGGCGACTACATGGTGACCCCAACAATGGTATATCATCATGTCCCCTTTACAGAGTTTATTTGCGTTGAACGGCTTTAAGCAACAAGCTTTCAAACAATGTGCTTAACGCATTGAAGCTGATGCATCAGACAGTCAGTCAAATGATAAAGACACCACACAAAACACTCATCACTGGGATGACTCCATCGTGCCTGTCTTATGAAGTAATAGAATTTTAGAATTTGGATCTGTTGAGCACTTTGCATTTCACATCGCACGTAGGGTGTATTATATATTAGACTCAATAATCGAAGCAAATGTTAAACAAATAGTTCATTGTATCATATGCTCTCTCTCTCACACACACAGAGGTAGCAAAGGTACTGTAAGTCCCCATGGTCCCTAGTATGGTACTCTACCTTCGGTTGTTGGTGATCTATAGCCCGTTTTATTTTGTACTGTCTATAGTGATTTTACGATAGCGTACTAGTTTTAAATTTAAATAGCTGCGATCCTTTAGTTATTTTACTGTCCTTCAGTGACAGGTATTTATGTTCTAACTTTATTTATTTTCATATTGATATAAACTAGATTGTTCTCGTCACGATATGGCTGAAATATTGTCGATGTGACGCTAAATAATAACTCTCTCTCTCACACACACACACACACGCGCGCGCGCGCGTACGTAGGTGGTGGCAAATGTGGTATGTCAATTCCGCATTTGATATTGATACATTTTCAGTGTCAGGAAGCCTCAAAATGTTTGTGAAATATGAAAAATATACAGGTTACATTTGGCGGTATTTAATGCATTTACGGTGCCGCCAACGCAATCCTGGCTGATACAACCGTGGAACTTGAAGACATCATTCCTTCATCATGGTATCTAGAGATATATTTCATAATACTTTCTTGTGTTTACATTTAAAGTTTTCTTACTGTGATAGATTTATAGGCACTTCATCTTGAAAAACGTCATAGCTAGTCATTGAAAAGTAATTGCTGCCCACTTTCGTCGCCAGTGTAGGCATCCCCATGGGCACCAATTGTGCTCCCCTCCTTGCAAATCTGTTTGTGCGGATATGAATCAAAATTTCTGCTTGGGTTGGCAAAACAAGGTAATTTGACCAAGAACAGGTATATCGATGATCAAATATCGATTAATAGCCATGAAATAGTCAATTCCTATTGTAATTACTATTGCATTTCTTTTACCTTCATGTAGCCCTAATTCCTGCCTTTGTTTACCCTATTACATATCCTCAAAAAAACAAGGTCTTTAAAGCTGTTTGATTGGCATTTAGAAGTTGGTGACTAATAAGAAAGGAAGATTCTATAATAAAAGAAGTTGTTATCCATAAAGAATGTCCCTTTCTTACTATCAATGCAATGGGTATATTGTGTGAAGCCCATTTCTGGTGTCCCCCCGCCGTGATGTTGCTGGAATATTGCTAAAAGCGGCGTAAAATCAAACTCAGTCAGTCAGTCAGTACTATCAATGCAAGTAGCATTTTTGCCTACTACCGGGTCAGTTAGGGGGTATTTGTTTTTGCCTGTTATTTTTATTCTTTATCCAGCTATGATGTTTGACCCTATCAACATCTCATCTGATCTGTCTAAAAATATAATGACCTAATTCCATCTGAATGTGATATGGTCACCACATCTGTCATCTAGAAAGATTACTTTTGCCCCTTACTTTGATGGTGATTCTACATGTATGCGGTGGAATGTAACGAGCAGCTAGCATGAATTATTCCTTGGGCATATTTGGATATGTTACCAAAACATAATGTTTATATTAATGGCATTGTTTTCAAATAATATTCAATTTCGTACCAATATTTCATTGTTTTAATACACACTTGCAAAGTTACACCTCTAATACTTGTAATAATCCATCACCATATAAGAAGAACTTCTAACATCTGTCCCTGTGATTGGCTGAATACAAAGATGAGCGAGACCAGACAAGGAGAAAATCAAGCCATGACAAGGAGGGACGAACACTGACCAGTCAAACCCAAACATCTCCATGGCAGTGTCTGTCGGACCCTGTTTAAACTGCTCACCCTACCTCATACACCTAGTTATACAAGTTCTTAACCAGTGCCAGGATGTTACATATACTGAACCGCAAACGAAACACAATACCGATTGAGGTTTCTTAAAGAACGCACTTTAATTCGCTCAAATTAACAATCAAAACGGAGGATTGAATTCAAACTTGGCAATTATGGTTAACACATTTTTGGAATCACATTTAGAGTTCACACAAACACAATCACCAATATAGCGAGCAGCTGTCACACCGGCCATTTCCACGTCCTGGACTGAGATTCTGGAACACCACTGGGCCAATTCTCTGGTTCAGACCGATTGCACCCACGACTCTTTTCCCATGATGCTTGGACCACCCCACGACTCTGCGGGTAAAACACAATATCGGCTTACATCAGAAAAAAACACAGTTCTCCATTGTCGATAACGCCAATTTCGATGCTGTGCTGAGTTGCCCATTGCAGTCGTTTTGGGCGGTGACGAGCGGCGAGAACAGGACCACGATATAGTCTGTGGCAGCAGAGTTTTTTCAGTGTAAACGTCGACGCACTGTATCGACACTAATGGGTCTGTTTTGAGTCCCAATGGTCTGGCGCGCTGTTTCCGTTGCTCTGATGAAGCGATCCTGCAAATGATTGGGCACAATCTGTCGGTCTTGACGTTGTGTTGTTTCTGAAGATCGTCCACTGGGTGGATGGTCTTTGATGCTGTTAGTGGCCTGATACTGCTCCTGCAGTCGGTTCCTAACATGAACATAAAAATAATTGGCGACCCCCCTGTAGTCTGACCAACCTGCAATCTTCAAAGGCTTGGTTTCTCTGATCTCTCGTAAGTCGTGGCATAGCCATTGTGTCAAACCAGGAATGATTTCAAGCGAGTTTAAGACTCGCTTTCATTGGTAGGCGTGTCATGATATTTCATTGCTTTTTCATTTTCACGTACGGAACCTTTACCACGCCCGCCTTTTTAGGTGCGTTTGGCCGATATGCTTTGCCATCAGAAAACAAACTGATGTTGGTAATAACTGTCAATTTTGATTTAAAAACATGTTAACAAAACGGTACAATCATAATAAAAACACCACCTTATAAGAACAAACTGTTGCATTTGGTTTTGAAAGGTTTCGTTTCTGTTGCGGTTCAGTATAAGATACGCCAAGCACAGTGTCACGTAGCAGCCATGTGTGGTCGAACCGATGCTACCTGTGTTGTATCTATGAGTGAGATACGCTACGCTTATTTTGGACATTGCACCCGTGTGTGGAGAAACCTAGGCTACCTGTGTTGTATCTGTTAGCGAGATACGCTATGCTGCCAATGCTGTGTCTGTGAGAACTTATGTATCGTGAGATCCCTATTACAAACGATACATTGACTGACTGTCCATTCCTTGCCTAATCAGCCAATGTAATCAGGATGCATTTCAGGCCAAACCGTGTGTACAGCTACATGTACAACAACATGGATGAAACCAACGCCGTTTGCTTGTTGTCCTGTTTACCATTTGCCACATAAAGGATTCACCGGAAAAGTTGAAATTGTACATGGGGGTTTTACTGCTGTAAGGCGTATAATTCATGCAAAGTATTAAATTTGGGTTTGCACTATGACAGCTTGGTATCATCTTTTTGTAAGTAAGTGACCTAAGAGGAAGGTCAAGATCGCTGTGGAGGTAATTTAAAAGGTATGTGGCAATTTTATAACAGTGGTGCTCAGTGCGATCTAAACGGGTATCTTATTCTATTCGTTTACGTCGAATTGAACGAAGGAACATAAGCTTGTATTTATGTGCTGGATAGACATTTGAAATGTTCTTGAAATACACTTGTACTTATTCTCTCTCGTTTCATGGTCGCAGCAGGATACTTTATGTCCATGATACCTATTAACAAGTCAAATTTAAGGCGTGGCTCTTGTAGGAAAGACTGTACGTCATCTTAGTTTTAAGGTTAAGAAATGTACTCCAAAAGTTTTCCTTGCAGCAGGATGAAACTATTTACTATAATGGTTAAGTGTTAGGTAGGTGTTTTGAACAAACATTATTTAATTTCACGTTATTGGAATGCTCATTCTTTTGGTAGTTCTCCTTTTTGTGTACGGAGGCTACCAGTCCCTGTTTTGTTTGACAAAGATTATAGTACTCTACTCTTGTTTGTAAGATAAGAGCTTGTGCCATGAGCATGAACGGAACAAGCAGGCGGTTGTCTGGAATTCAAGCTCAAGGCTTTAAAAACCGGAAGAACATCTACATTTCTTATTAATGTCGTTAGGTAATGACAGGTGGCAGTTTCTGTTTTGAACTATAAATGTGATTTGTCGCTTTCTCCTTATCCTACTGTTTACTATATATCCAGGTGAGCTACAGTGCCGGAACACTAGATTTTATTATCCATGATATTTCATATTTCATTTCATCATCAGTGGAAGCGGGTTCGTTCAGCTTCTCGAAGTCCTTTGCTAATCATATGGTACTGCAACAAGCACCCAAGAAGGCCACCATATGGGGGTTTGCATCACATGTGGGGAAACAGTGACGGTCCAGATATCCGGGAAGGGATCAATCAAAACGTTTTGTGTGATCACATGAGTTGTATCCCTTCCTCTACTTAACTTTCCTATCTCTTCTCTCTATTCTTTCCTAATATGTATATAATTGAAAATGTATGTATGTAAAGATTAGGGAGCGGGCATTTTAAGTTGGATTACTTGTCACCAATCCCTTTCACATTTGTGAATAAAATATGTTTAAATCAAGGGATCGGTGACAACGACAACAAGTCACGGAGATAACGGTGCTGTTGTATGGTATGCGCAGCTTCCGCCAGTCAGCGCCGGTGGACCATACACCATCACAGCTACATCCAGGGAAGGGAAGCTAACTCTGTCCGATGTCCTTTTTGGTGACGTGTGGGTGTGTGGGATTCACCATGAGCATGGTGAGTTTTACGTGAGTAACAGTCTGCTCGCTGTAACCGTATCTATGTACAGTCGTAAATAAAAGCGGTCACTTGATACAAGTGTGTGAAGTCATCGCTTTTGTTCTTGTACATTGTAGCGGATCGTGTATGTGTGAAATTGTACCTCAACTTGGTTCATTTATATTTTAGAACAACCACCCACAGTGGTAAATGTGGTTCAATTATATACATTATTCAGTATGTACATAATTTTGAGTGGTTTCTGGAATAGTCATTGATTGACACTGACATTGGCTTTGACACTAAAAGTAACCTCTCGCTGACCTATCGATTTCATTTTCAGCTTGGGCCCTGAATAAAGTATGTACACATTGATTAGTGGCCTTGATCGTTAACCGGTCCAGGCTGTTAGTCAACTTAGATAGATAGATAATTATTTATTAGAGTCTCACCTCATTTGGTACATTTTAAAAGCATACAACATATTTATAAGCGCATAAATTACATAAAAAACCATGAGCCACTCCATTTGGAGTTATGAGAGACTATAAAAACATAAAATATACACATTATACAAAAATAAAGAAACATAGCTATTTGTATAAAATATTACTACGAATATCTGAAATGGTCTTGCAGGATTTGGCACTTAAAAGAGCACATTCCTTATTAGATAAAATAAACCGGACTTAAGTCAACAATAGTGAGACTTCTCCATTACCTATGAGATATCTGTGACGCCTAACATATTTGTCTGAATAAAAGAAACATATATTATATTTGGGATTACACTTTCTTAGTAAAAAAGACTAAAAGACGGAGCGAACAGTTACTGTTTACCGATATGATATAATGTTCTGTAGAGATATACTGAGTTTGTTACGGGTGACCAGTTATGAATTCAATGTCAGGTGTGTTGTATGTTGTGTTGTGTCTTCCTCCAAGGACCTTGCTACAGACTAACGTTTAGTCTCTGAACATACATTATTTTGACCGAAACAACAAATTCCATATACTTTCCAAACGAGCCCTAATGGAAAATATCGTGGCTGTGTCAGGAGAAAACATTCAACATGAGACTATTTATTTATTTTAGTGTTCGGTGCAAAGATTTAAAAAGTGAAATTCTGTGAATCTTTAGCATCCTTTATCTATTCCACAAAGGTATTTGATATTGTGTGCCGAAATATTCCTTTTATCAATATATCGTGTACATTTTCTAATTTACTTCCTAAACTTACGGAGGTGAGGTGAGGTGAAATCGGGTTTAACGTCGTACTGACATACATGCGTGTGTATGTGTGGCTGCTTGTACTAGCCCAGACTTACGCTGGAGATACCATGCCGCAGTTAGGCATAAACATCCCACTCAGACACATTATACTGACTCCGAGCCGACCAATCCTTGTTATAGCCATTAATGCCGAGCGCCAGGCAGGGACCAACAAGTACCATATTTTAACGTATTTTGTGAGGCGGCCGGGGATCGAACCCGCGACCTTCCCCCCTACGGGCAGACGCTCTAACCACTACACCACGGAGGCGGTCCTAAACGTACGACTGAACAGTGCACCTAGTACCTACAGTATAGGTTGTGTATTTATATGTTAACTGTGTTAAAGACTGGTTATGTGTTACAATGCATGGAAACTGATATCCTTTATGAGTGTTTTATTTTTCAAAGCGAGTGAGTGAGTTAATATTTATCTCACATCGGCAATATGTCAGCCATATAGTCATGAGAACAATTAATTATCATATTTAAGATCAATTAAATTAGAAATTAAAAAAATGTTGACTATGAACAGTAAAACCACGAGTGCATCACAGATAGATATTTAAAACTAGAATGTAACGCAATACTTATACCATAATGCAAAACAATACAATATGGAAAACGGGCTATAGATCACCAGCACCCGAAGGTAGATCTCGGTACAAAGGACCATGGGGACTTATCGTACTTTTGCTACCTGTATGGACCCTAGCCAAATTTACATCATCCCTTCAGCCGCTGTATTTAAATATAGCCATAATTTAAAATTACAAAAATACTACGGTTTAAAATATTTGATAATCTTAATTTACCTTGAATGTGTTGGGACTTGTGACCGGAGGATAATACTTCACACCCCCACCCCACCCCATGAGGATACAGCCACTCACAATCTCAGCTGGTCAATTAAACTGCCAATACTAAAATATTCATCTATTTACAAATCATTTAACAAAATTTATGTAACAATTCTATTTCTAGTTAAGGTTCTGACAGAAGTCCTTGCAAGCATGTTTGTTGTTTATCGCCGCACCCAACAATTTTCCAGCAAACAATGCGAAAAGGAAAATAGGAAAGTGTTTTGCTTTTTTATATTTTGGTTGCACTTTAATTTTTTAGTGAGGAAGGAACGATTAGAGGTCATCAGTACATTTAAACAAGATTTTTAGATTGTCAGCTCAGTATTATCTTCAATGACATTAAATCCTGCCTCGCCGAAGAAGTTCCCGAACACGTTACCTCCTCCTACTTCGACTTAACAATCACCGAAATGGTTGTTTAGGACGATTTGGCATACACATCCCCTAGTATTTGAACAAGAATCTGTGTACCAGTCTTTGGTTAGTTTGCTCATAACAACACAGTTTCCAGATTTGGGATGACCACTGCTCCATGACCTGAAAGCACCAAGGTCCTCCCCAAGGTGCCATGTCCACACCAAAGACGTCTTCTTCAACCCAATGTGGAGGCCAGCACCTGAAACATACAACTTACTTTAAGTGTTCGAGTTCTATTTGAAAGGACACGCTTCGACGAGTGTAATAGCAGAGCCATACCTGTTTTCATTTTAATGTAATGCTCCAATTATATTATCACGTAAACAGTGTCGCATAGTGTCGAGACCAGGGTGTCATCAAACTGGATTTAATATATTGCTAGAAAAAACATTGTATATCTTCACAGTTTAATAATTAGCAGCTAAACATATCGAAATCAGGCGATCAAGAAACCATGACCCAACATTTGCTGAGCAAACATATAACAGCTGACATAAAAATTGTCAAGATGCACAGTCAGCCAAGTAAATCGGCTGTGACCAATTATCAACTGGGAGTTAGATTTGTCATGTAAGTATTATAACTAATTTACCTTCTCCCAACATAATTTTTCGGATCAGGTTGTTTTCTTTTGAATTCTGGATGTTCACGAGTCTTCCGCCATTGTCCACACATGTTTGTCTCGCGACATTATTGGTAACTCGCGATGTGAACAGTCGGAGGCATAACCCAGTAGGCTTGGAATATGACCACTGAGAAGGACATCCATCTGAAATCAAACTCGATATGAGTTGGGTTTTATAACATATGTTATATTTGGGATTACACTCTCTTAGTAAAGTACAGATTCTAGTACTTTTTGGGTTGAGTCCCATCCGGGATTCGAACCCACACCCTCAGAGTCAGGCACCTAATCGCCAGCATACAAACTCAGACGCCTAGACCGCTCAGCCACCGCGGCTTCCAACCCAAAACGTTGCTCTAACTTGCAAACTTGTGCAGGATATACAGGCAGGCCAGATAGGCTGCCAGTACAGAGTAGCCATATTCCTGGACATAGAAAAAACGTTCGATACGGTTTGGCATAACGAGCTAATTAAAACAAGAAAAGAATCGGGCCTCTAAAACTAAATCATTTTTATATCAAGGATTTCCTCTCAAACCGCAAAGTAACTGTGGGTGTTGCCCAAACACTATCGGACCAGTGTCCCTTAGAAATTGGCAGCCCACAGGGAAGTATACTAAACCCGAACTTTTTTCACGTAATGATAAATTACCTCTTGGAGGGAATCTCTTCTAAAGGAAAACCTTTGGCGGATGACGTCGCTCTTTGTGTCCGCCCAAGAAGCATTAAATTTGTTAAAAAGCCACTTCATCAAGCACTAAACAAAGTCACAGCTTGGGCCGATTAATGGTGTTTCTCATTAAAGGTCGATAAAAAAAACAGTTGAGTATTCTTTAAACGTAAATATATGCACTCTGTTACCCCATCAATTTATCCGAAAAATAGCTCCTTAGATTTCAAAAGAAAACTCAATTCCTTGGCCGTATATACGATGAGCACAACATCTGTTATGACTACCTAAACAATCTAATACACAGGGGATAAACACACTTCACTGCTTAGTAGAACCTAACTGGGGGACCTCCAAGAAGACTGTTATCATAATACACATCACTTATTAGGTAAGTACAAAACAGACTACGGCTGCGCAATCTACAATACCCCCAAACGACTGAATAATAAACTAAAATACTAAGCCCAAAAACCAATCACACGGCAAGGAACAATATTTATCATCACAAGCACGTACAGGCGAAATTCCCCCAGTATAGAACTGAGACGAGAACACTTTACCATAAATTTCTGGGCATTAACACAAATACACCCTCCTCATCAAACGAACCCAAACTCAAAGCACTTGCTCACAAAAAAAACTTATGATGGCAATGTCACAACTCATCTTCACAAACTTGCTAACACAGGTCGTGGCCAGGCACCACTGTGTGTAAGGGTATCCATGCTCTATTGTACATGTGTCAATACCTACCATGCTTCCACTGATTACAGTTCACATTTGGCTTCGCTGTCAGCTCGTGTCCAGACACCACTGTGTGTAAGGGTACCCATGCTCTATTGTACATGTGTCAATACCTACCATGCTTCCACTGATAACAGTTCACATTTGGCTTCGCTGTCAGCTTGTGTCCAGACACCACTGTGTGTAAGGTCACCCATGCTCTATTGTACATGTGTCAATACCTACCATGCTTCCACTGATAACAGTTCACATTTGGCTTCGCTGTCAGCTCGTGGCCAGGCACCACTATTTGTGTAGGGTATCCATGCTCTATTGTACATGTGTCAATACCTACCATGCTTCCACTGATAACAGTTCACATTTGGCTTCGCTGTCAGCTCGTGTCCAGACACCACTGTGTGTAAGGGTACCCATGCTCTATTGTACATGTGTCAATACCTACCATGCTTCCACTGATAACAGTTCACATTTGGCTTCGCTGTCAGCTCGTGTCCAGACACCACTGTGTGTAAGGGTACCCATGCTCTATTGTACATGTGTCAATACCTACCATGCTTCCACTGATAACAGTTCACATTTGGCTTCGCTGTCAGCTCGTGGCCAGGCACCACTGTGTGTAAGGGTATCCATGCTCTATTGTACATGTGTCAATACCTACCATGCTTCCACTGATAACAGTTCACATTTGGCTTCGCTGTCAGCTTGTGTCCAGACACCACTGTGTGTAAGGGTACCCATGCTCTATTGTACATGTGTCAATACCTACCATGCTTCCACTGATAACAGTTCACATTTGGCTTCGCTGTCAGCTCGTGGCCAGGCACCACTGTGTACAGCATACTGCTTCTGTAACACAGGTTCTTGTCGTGGTTGTAGAAAAACGAGGCACAACTGGTTGAGTAGAAACACAGTCTAATACACTCAGTTAAAATCTCAGCAGGAACTGCAGGTAGATTGGGGTCAATAACGTTGGGTAACACCATTGCAATGGATACAGCCAGATTCATTGTATCTACAAAAGGAGAAACCGCATCTTGTATTAGGTTCAACCATCCACCAGGATCAACCATCCACATTTTAGGTTGATGGATCATTAAATGATTTACGCGTACGTGGTTTCATTCGAACTGTCAGTCATACTATCAACCACTGGCTGGACATATACGTGTGTATTTGAAGGCTGTCCAGATACAGGTGAAATAAATATGTGTAATATTCAGATACATGTGTACTATGAAAATGCGTGCACATTTGTCACAATGTTTATAGTATGATTTTAAAAGGTGGGGAATTTTCAATACAAAGTTGTTACATATCTATAGATATTATATCCTGAGAAAAATAGTTTAACAGTGTCATAGGTACACCTGACTGAGATTTGAGTTTGTAGTGGAACGTCAGATTGCCAAAGATGTTGTTAGATGATTGACCAAAGAGGCCTTCAGTCCAGAACGTTCAGCTCATTCATATCGACTGAATTCGCCTCTCTTCTTAAGACAATCCTGAATTCGACGAGGTATATCCCCTAATCAAACGTCCAATGTCAACTTCTACTATCTCATTCTTCCTGCAGAGCAGCACCATGTTCGATAAAATAGATCAGAGGTTGTTGACGGCGACGTACCCGCCGTCCAAAGATATCCCAGAAATGTTAGGCCCTCCTGGTGGATGTACTCATTAACTGTAAGAGTCCTGTGTACTCATCCCTAATTGCTCATTTTACCTCAAAGGTAAGATGTTAACGAAACGGAACTATATGTTATACACATGGAGTTAGTGAGTGAGTTTAGTTTTACACCGCACTCAACAATATTCCAGCTATATGGCGGCGGTCTGTAAATAATCAAGACAATCCAGTGATCAACAGCATGAGTATCGATCTGCGCAATTGGGAACCGATGACATGTGTCAACCAAGTCAGCGAGCCTGACCATCCGATCCCTTTAGTCGCCTTTAGCATGGGTTACTGAAGATCAATTCTAACCCGGACCTTCACGGGTCTGTCAGCCTGGAACACATGACGACGTCCATGCGCAAATGGCACCACGCATGCCTCCACGATGTTGTCACGGCAGCAGTGACCAGTACGTGAATTACATGTGAATGTGTTCTGATACACCAGGACTGGTGGAGGTACTCATTAACCGTAAGAGCCCTGTGTGCTCATGAAATGTCAAAGTGAAACACAAAACGAGGTCCATGTCGGCGCGCATGTCGGAAGGACAGTGACACGTACGTGAGTGAATAACATGCCAGTCACAGTGATCCCATCCCACACCATTACTGAGCCACCCCCTACAGACCGTTCTGTGTACCGTTATCGGCATGAAAACGTTCATTCCGTCTAGGCCACTACTTGTTGGGTCAAGGAAGCCCAAAGTAGATTAAAACATTACACGTGCCGGACGACGACTGCTCCAACGTTGTTGTTCTTGGTGTGGTTGCTCGAAATTCACAACTCGTTGAATGGAACAATCATTATCTAACTTCATATTCAACTAAAAGCAACGAAGCCATGTCCACATCCTTAAGAAATCTCAGCTGAAAGCAGAGTTGATTGCACAATTTTGACTATAATATGAGTATATATTTGTTTCGACCGCCTCCGTGGTGTAGTGGTTAGAGCGTCCGCCCGGAGAGCAGAAGGTCGCGGGTTCGATCCCCGACCGCGTCATACCAACAGACGTTAAAATATGTACTTGTTGGTCCCTGCCTGGCGCTCGGCATTAATGGGTACAACAAGGACTGGTCGGTTCAGAGTCAGTATAATGTGTCTGAGTGGGGTATTCATGCTTCACTGCGGCATGGTATCTCAGTGGGCTAGCACTATAAAACCAGATGAAGTCTGGGCTAGTACAAGCAGCCGCACATACACATACACACGCATGCACGTCGTCATATGAGCGAAATATTCTCAAGCACGACGTAAAACCCAATTTCACCTCACCTTAATATTTGTTTCAGCAGTATTACAGCTGCACGAGGTTGTCTGTAAACACATTGAGCCTGGAGGCGGCAATCCAGTGATTGTCACCATGCTGTCGCCCTTGGTGTGTTTACTCGAAATACGTAACTCGTTGTGAATAGAATAATGATTTTCTAAATCCATACGAACATCACACGAAAATCAGGTATCCTCTGCTTGTTTACGCCGCCATGTAGCTGGAATATTGCTGAGTGCGGCGTAAAACTAAACTCACTCTGCTTGTTTAAATAGTATATGCAATGCATTGATAAACGAAGAAACGTTAATCATAACGTAAGAGACTAAATAGAGAGAAGGCATGGGTGGATTGACGAATGGATTGGATGGATGGATAGGTATAAAATTGAAACCTTACCCGTTGTGTGCCACAGTCGTGTTGGAACTGCGCGTCAGAATGAATGTCACTCAGTTTTTAACGTGCTTTTGAACATTCTACTTAAGCATCACTGTGAAGAAAACGAGTTCCATGTTACAAGGTATTTAGTGTGTTAAATTATTTATAAAGAGCCATTCATATTACCAAAGGCACCAGTTATCTTTATTCGGAACGTATTTTTATGGCAATGTGGTTTGTGTCTTTCAGCCCTTCCTTAACATCCTCTTGGGAAATGTCTGCGCTAGTTTCCATTGCGCTTGCAGGTGTTCTGTTGAGGGAATACTCTACGCAAGGCATATGACTGTATTGAACGGAAGACACATTTCATGGTTTGATGTGCATTGCAGATTGAAATAAGGATGTGTACTTTCACCGTTACTTTTTAATTTTTACATAAACAAGCTTTTAACCATGATTTATGATTTATCTATCAGCTAACTTCTTTGAGTGGCATGTTTAGAAGGTGGTGATTCATCCATGAAGTTTGTCCTTATCTTATCTCACGGCGTTATCATAAACGACAAGGCTGTTGGAGTGCTCGCCTATGCTGACGACTTGGTTCAACGTGCAGAATCTGAAAGTGACTTGAATTTATTGTTGGATTGTCTCAACAGCTGGTGTGGAACTAAAAAAAGTAATGCCGGAAATGCTTGGAAAATGCCTTTTGGCTTCAATATCAGTATGATGAATTTGACACAACACATCATATATAATACATGATGAAAAAATGCACTTGAGGGGTGACTTCACAGGAGGAAATTTTGACGTTTTAACAACATTCTAACTCGAATGTAGTTTTGAAATACAGACTATAATCATTCATAAGGCCTCAACTAATTAAATTACATAAATGATTGGATAAAGTTTTGGTTTTTAACATCTATATGTGAAAATGATGAAACTCTTGTAGTAGTTAGATTCTAATTAATGATGTAAGAAATGTCTTAATGCAAATCGCATAGATACTCTTGTTCACCCATTGAAGTTTCACTTCGTGTATGAGCACTGAACTGGCAACATGCGACTTGAAATCTCTGCAGAACAATTAATTTCAAATTTATACCAGTATTTCATACTGGAGAAACAAAGGGGGAAACTTCTCGTCAGTTATGACAGGGTTTACTACAGAATGTGTAAAGCCCTTAATTTGACATATAGTCAGGTGTACAAAGTTGTAAACAAATCAGTTACCTCATCTGTCGTGTCAAAATCAAAACCAGGTAGGAACCACAAACTGGATAGCTTCGATAAGGGTGTCATACGCCGTGCAGTTTATAAACTGTATGAACGCTAAATCCCACAGACGTGTGCAAAATACAAGATGAGATCAAAGATACAATAAATGTCTAGAAAACAACACTTATTGTAGCTCTGGTAGAAATGGGGTTCAGGTAGACCAAAAGGGGAGATAACAGAGCTGTGTTTAGAGAAAAGTACTCAATCCTGTCATGCGATCAGCTTATCTCAGAACATTTGAAGAATACCGCAGTTTGGGGTTTCAAATTTTACACCTCGATGAAACCTGGTGTAATACAAATCACTCAGCCGATCGGATGTGGCTTCCTTCAGTGTTACCATCAGGCAAAAGTAGACGCCTGATCATCTTGCATGCTGGTACCCGTGGCAAGGGACTGATTGGGGGTTGTGACTTTGTTTTTGAGGCCACGAAATCTGATGGTGATTACCATAGCGAAATGAATGGGCAAGTATTTGTTTTACCGCAGCTGGACGAAGCAAGCGTTATCAGTTTGGATAACGCCAGTTACCATAACCTGCGTGTCCCTGTTACCAAAACACCCACCATGAGCAATCTC